TAAGCGAATGAGCAGCCAGAATTTTCGAAATTATTTTGATTTCAATTGCATAAATTCTAATTATTACTGTATTAATTATTAGCCAAGCGAATGCACGAAGTTTAAAAAACGCTGCGCTGTAAACGGTGCGTTGTTCTCTTCTTGGTTGATTTGCACGGTTTTTAATACTATCTGAGGTGTTACTAGCGCAGAAAATGCAATATTTCAATATTAGTTTGCTGTTTCCAATAGCACTAGAAAGTATGTGCTGTTGTAGCACCACTAGTTTATTTCTGCCAAAGTTTTCCTATTCTTAACATTGTTGATTTCTAACCTCAGAATACACCAATCTTCTTGGTAAATGCACCCAGTCTCCTTGTGTTGTGTCCTAATCTGATTTATCAGAATCTATATTAGTGTCTGCTTGAACATACTTCATGGGTGCAAACATTACAACGGTAATATCCCATTAGTCTTCTAATTCATCATTTTCGAATACATCCACGATATCGTTTAGTTGGGCCCCTGAAATAGACAAAAAGAACTAAATGTAATGATTTGGACTGTCTCATTACAAATTATGTCGTCCCAGTGGCAAGAAAACCTGCTCCCACTACCTTAACCGTTACATTCCGAAAGTCTCGCACTCAATTTGCAACACGAAATCAGGAGATAAACTCCTCACGAGAACAAAACAACAAATGCATGAAACAGTTAATCAAGATCACTCACCCAACACCATTCTCATCAGACGTCACAACAATGGGCAGGCAACTGCAACTCAGAACAAACAACAAAAATCACGATCCAGGAACACCTGGCTGGATTAATGGAAGATATAGGTTCGTAATAAAATGACGATCAACAAAAGAATTCATTTTACATCAAACTAATGGAGATACTTCTTAAACGATAAATATAATATTGATTTTCCAAAATTTCTCGCGCCTGACAACTATATCTGGACTTATTTTACGTCTTTTAATTACAATAAATACCATTCCCGTGTCGTAAGAAAACAAATTGGATATAAACGCTTATACACAAAATTAAAAAATATTAATTGTTAAATACAATTTAAAATAAATGTTATTAAAAATATAGGTTTAATACTCAAGTTAATATGAACGGATGATTTTTTTTTAATTTCAAAATTAAACATGACAAAATGGAAATAGTTTTATGAAGATGCGTAGTAATGAAGAGAGTATTTTTCCTAAAATATGAATTTGTGAGGTGTTGTGATGCAAAATGGCATTCACCAGTCTGCCCTCCAATAATAGAAACTCGGCCCTGGCTAAAAGTGTGCTGCGGTTTGACACCCAAATTTTCGGGAGAACTAGTTGCCAAGCCGTGCCCCGCGCCCCGCGCACTATAAATAAGTGAATGTCGAGTGCCCGATGCAGATTCTTCGCGGAGGCGACAACAGACGCCGGCATGCGTGCGGTCGTTGCTCTGCTGTTTATCGTCAGCGCCATTTCGGTGAGTACCCAGGTCGAGTACTATCGTTTACTCTCTCGTCTCTAAAGCTACTGTCACGTTCTATTAATGGCTCATTAAATGAAAATTGATGAACTAGTTAAAATTTGTCGATAGATGCCTGTAAAGGTCCTGCCACCAATTTAGAGAAAGAAAGATCATGGAAGTAAAACATTTAATATTTTAAAACTTCATTAATTTAAATGGTGTTGATCACCAATTAATTTCGTTTACTCTATCGACTCTAAAGTTGCATTCTACTTACGTACAGTTAATCGTCCGTAAAATAATAAACTTTGTTGATTTAGGTTTGTAAAGATTCTATCACCAGTTTAGCGAAACAAGGGTTATGAACAAGGCCGGATTTAGATGAAAAGAGACCCTAGGCCATTCCACTCACGAGGCCCTTTCACCTCCCATTTTAACTTTGTAAATTACATGAGAGATAATAAAATACATCATTACTGTAATTATGTATGTATGTGTGTATGTGTTCAATGAAACCTGTGATTGGTACTAACCTTTATAAAAAAAATTGGCACTGAAAATAAATTTTAAAAAGTCGAGAAGACATATTTAGACATTTATTCTCAGTACCATATATAATACTTGTAACAATCAAACATAACAAACAACATTTACGTAGACACGAAATTCAAATAACGAAAATCTTTGACTGAATAAAATAAAATACGCAATTAAAATGGTCATATTATCTATCAAATTAAATTAAATATATTCAATACATTGAAGATCAAAACAAATTCAATTCAGAAAAATTTATTTCATAATAATTCGCATTTAAAGTTTAATGCTGTTATACTATTATATATTATATATTAATATATGTTAAGAACTTATTTAGAATTCCGCGAAATGAAAATATTGTCACAAAACATTTTCAATAGTCTGCAAACACTTCACCTACTGAACTCAAAAGGCGATAATGAATTGATGGTGTACCCAACCCTAAAATAAGAATTTCTTCTAATAACTAGGGAAAGGATTTTAAGGTGCATCACTTTTTCAAAACTATAGATGTTTTCATACTGTTAATATACGTATTTGTGGCGATAAAATAAAGCGAAATGAACAAAATTTGCTGCACCTTTTCGTGAGATTTCTACATTTCGCCACCTTTTTCCCCCCTTTTTTATGCTTCAGCACCCTCTTTCCATTGTTTTCTGCGTTTTAAACAAAATACATTTTTCTGCCAAATTGTTTATCTTCTTGAACAGCTTTTTAAAACATCATTTAATCAGAAAACAATATTAAATAAATATTAAAATATCTTTTACGTAAACCACCACTAATGTATATCTCAACAATGGTAAATCTGCAACTGTAAAGTCAAATTTACATTTCAACACAGTTGCTACCACAATTTAATCCTTTTCCGCTGAATTTAAAGTGCTTCCCAGACAGAGAAATTAATATTTAACTAGGTGTGCAGAAATGGACTTGTCTGAGAGCTGAGGAAAATGTTCACCTTTGCCATCGCGTCGCCGTCAATACCGAAAGCGCGCTGGCAGCACTTGTGGATTTGGAGGGGCAGGGAGGGGAGTCAGGGGAAGTCAGGGGAAGTCGCCTATGCAAGAGCACGGAGTTTCCCACGAGGGCAAGAGCTCGCGCGCGCGCAGCTCAGTCAGTGCTGGCAATTGTTTTTATCTCCTACAGTATTGGATAAAGTACTATCTTACGGACTCTATAAGGAAGAAAACGTTGGTGCAAAACGATAGAGTATAATGTAGAAGCAATTGAATTAAACAATTGAAGTCGGTACACAAATTTAAGTAAATTTTTTTAATGCATAACTGTTTCTATACAATTAGAAACTATACTGATCATAATATAGAAAAATAATGTTCATTTTAATAAATCAGTCATTTATAATGAATTAGTTTACATTTGAACTGTATATTTTTTTAAAAAGACTTAGTATGCTTGTAACAAATAATGTACTTCAGCTTGCGGGTCAATGACCCCCAACTCTATCAGGTTTTTGTCGTTTCCCTGATCCATTGAGCAAATGCTGAGATGGCCCCTTGTTTTGCTGCTAGGCGCAAATGTAAGCGCACTTCACTATGCGCACGTTTTATTGAACTCTCCTTTTGCTTGTAGTAGTAAAAGGGGAGGTAAGGGCGAGTTACTACTTTGTTAGCAATGCAGAAAATAAAATCTGCACTTCGTTTACCGTTGCAAATAAGTTTTTTATAACTCGGGAACGAAAATGCCTAGTTTTTCAAATGTCGCTAACCTCGCGCTTTTTAAAATTTAATTTTTATTTGTATATTTATCTTTAACTGTTACTCATCTTTCAACTATTTGTAGTTAAAATGATGGGAAGGGATTCTGGAACTCAAGAAAACGTGCGCAGATAATCTTTTCTCCCACACGTCACATACAGTTCTTACTGTTTTTTGACTAAATGAATGTGAATCTAAATCTAAATCTGAAACTGCGTTGATGTCACTTGTTTAAAACTTAATACAGTGTTTTTGTATTTTCAGAATATCCCCCCCCTTTGCAACCATAATGCAGCTTAAAATTCTTTTCCTTCTAAAAACATTAACACGTGCTTCATAATCTAGGTATTGCGAGTATAACCGAACGCCGGGATATCAATAGGTCTGTTCGTTCTGTCTATTCCAATCTACATCATTTTGCACTTTATTTATGCAAGAACAAACCAGAGCTTAGTATCTAAGGCCCGCCAATATTTGCCATAGCAATGAGTGAACGTATCAATTATACTTTGGTGCAAATCTAGTATATACAAATCAATACATTTTTATGTTTATTAGTCATGTGCGTAGAATGTCTTCTTATTTTCGATTCAGTTTTTTAGTGTTCACTGTTTTTAGAACAGTGCAATTTTAATTTTGCAAACAATTTGACTAAAATTCTCGCAGCGAATTTACGCTGGGCTGAATGTTAATTTGTTTATGTAATGCACATTTTTAGAAACGTAAGTTATAAGAAAACCATTCTAAGGACATTAAATGTAGCACAGTCGACTATAAGTTTCAACTATCAGCAACAGTAACATCAACTAGGATGTTTACAATTTATTTCAGAAACCATCCACTACGCAACATTAAAGTATTGTTGTGTATTTGGGTATTTTATTACTTACTCTGATGGTATGGACGTCGGCTGAAAAGTCGAAAAATGCACTTAGGCCGTTTTGTTTCGCTTTCATTCCAATAGACTCTTCCTATTGAGATAAACAGTTCTCAAGAATATATTTACTTTTCTTCATTTATACACGCATTAGGAGAAACTCAGACATATATAGGTTTTTTCCTAAGAATTTTGTGGGGTCCAGAAAATAGAAATTTCTAGTTATTTTTCCATGTTAGGTCAGTTTCCATGTTAAAACTAGTGTTGGGTGATATTGACGAGCTCAGTCGTTTTTTGTAGTATTTCTGTATGTAATTAAAAAAAGAGTACTCTCCTACGGGGAGAAGTGTGTTCTGCGCACGTTTTCCCAATTCTGGGATCCGCATCCTAAACCACTCACAAGTCGAATTCTGAATACAGAAGGAAATGATCGTTTTTGTCAAGAATTATTAACATGATATTCGCTGCGATGTAATAAAACCTATTTTCAAAGGCAAATCAGCTACAGATTTTGGTTCACATCCTTCATATCCTTCATGAAGGAATATACTTCTGTCTTTTATGTCAATTTTATGCACCTACAATACATGTATTGTACGTAAATGTTTTGTAGTGAGCTGTTGATACTGTCACTTCATGAATATGATTACTACGTCGAGTGTTAAAGTTGTAGACATTATATATAAGTACTTTTTGACAAAAAACACTGATTCGTAAATCAAGAGACAATCTATTGGTATTCCGAATACTAATATAATATAGTAAAATTACGAAATTAATAAAGAGAGGCATATAAGAGTCACGTGGGTGCGATTTGCTTATTATTCGGTCAATTATTTTTTGAAATATAAAAGTCGGGGAGCTATAAGATTTATATCCCATGAATATTATGCTATATCTCAGGCGTGAATGAACATTCTCGAAATTTTCACAATGAGTAGTATGAAGGCTGACTAAATTTGAAAGAAAATATGAGCGCATAGCATAATAATCTTAATTTTGTGTTCAATTCATTTTCATTTGAGGACATTCCATTTGAGGTTTGATTGAATTGAGAGGCCTAAAAATTTTGTTACCTTAACATCACACAAGGGAACACTGTTAATATTCAATGGAGTACATTATTGTTTGTTTGAATTGAAAAGCGGCACTGGAAAATATTTTTTTCCATTTACTATTAATTTGTTATTACGAAACCGATTTGAAACACCTGATATTCTACCATTTTCAGTTTATTTATTGCAAAGAATATTCGTATCGTCGGAACTTCGTATCATCCGTTTCAAATAGAGAGCATATACGAAGGGAGTTGGGACTAAAATCTATCCCTGCGGAACTCCACATGCAATTGGCAAAGAATCAGAAAGGTGTGCACTTAATGTTCCATCATTCCAATAAGATATTTCTACTCTTTGAGATTGTTGTTTAAGGCAAAAATATTACCACGCTAGAGTAATTCCGCAAATTCCATACAAAGGTAATTTTGAAAGTAAAATGTTATGATTAATTACGTCAAAATCTTTTGAAATATCTATAAATATTCCAATAGATTCTTCATTTTCATCCGTAGATAAAGCGACATATTTAAGACAATAAAATATGTCTCTTTCCATAGATTTTGATTTTTGAAATCCATGTTGGCCATTTGAAAAAACATCGTGTTTACTAAGAAAGGTTTCTATTCGTACGTAAAATAGTCTCTCGAATATTATTGAAAAAACTGACAAAAAAGAAATTTGCTGATAATTTTGAATTTAAGTTTTGTTGCCTTTTTTTAATATTTCATATCAGTTGAAAATATCTGAAAAACTCTGGTGCATAAGGATTCATTGAATATGTGAGTAAACGGGTGTATAATGGCAGGTGCACAAGTCTTTAACAAACAAAAGGGAATTTCATGTAAACCGGACGAATATCTTAATTCTTAGTTTACCCATTATTTTGAGAATTTCATAGGAAGAGGTCTCGAAAACGAACGTTAGTCCAATGATTAGGGGTACCGTGTGACATTGAATTTTGTGGCTGAAAACCCTTAGTGAGATCAGTAGCATTGTCGAAAAATATTGGTTGAAGAAGCCATCCACTGTTTCTGGATCGATCATGAGGATTAGCAAACATTTTATATTTATTTAAAGATATTCAAGCTGTCCTTAATTTTTTAGAGAAGAAAAGTCAAAAGGACTAAAATCAAAGTGAAACATAATGGACTTATATTTAAAGAATTTCAAATCGCATATTTCTAAAGAATGTTAAGGAATTAAAATCAGAATTAAAAACTTGTTCAGCACGGTCAAAATTATAACGGCCTGATGTTCTTACTGTATTTGCTCGTTTGTAGGCTGTGGCAACTTTGTCATATCTGACACTTCAACCCCAACATTATCTTGATCATCAGCAGAAGGGAAAAAAATTACCAGTTTTTCAGTTTATCATCAATTTTTCTTTTCACTTGTCCTATAAAATGAAAAACCGATATCTTATTTGAAAACCGCACTATAACAAAGTCCTCATCAACAATATTTTGGTCAAAAGTATCTGCTTCTTCCATTGATTCTTCACCTAAAAGATCATTTAAATTAAAATTATCTGATTCATAGTCACACAACTGTACTAAAGATGTTTCGGATTCTTCTGATGAATACTAATATCTCATGTCACTAAGGTTTGTGTCATCTCTAAAAGAATTTTTGGTTTTTCGTGTTTGTTTCTTTTCTTTGCTGTGCTGCAGCGTGTTCTCTTTAACTTCCTTCTTATCACGGTGGCCAGTGCCAAGTCGGACCCATCGACACTCATCCGCGTGCAAGTTGGGAAAACAAAGATGGCGATGTAATCGTGAAGGAATATTAAATATTATAAGACATCCGCACTACTCAGCGGAACGTGATAATATTTCTTCTCTTCGTTAAGGTTTGAAGTTAAGAATTTATCTGAAGAAGGGGACTAAAACTTCTTCGAAACTTCATGTTAAATAATTAATGAAATATAATAATTTAAAAGAAGTTGATTGTCAGGAATCCTTTTTGTTCCTGACCCTACGTCAAGTACTACTACTAAATAGAATGACAATCTTACCTTTCAAATTGTACAATGATAATGAAAACGAAAATTGCCAATCGAAGGGCCTGCGCTGCATTTGCACTTTCACTGCCCTCGGGACCGCGCGCCAGCAACTTGAGTGGAAACCCGGCCGCGTGGACGGGGGGGGGGGAATAGACTCTCTCGCCAGTGGGGACCCGTTAATGAGAGTGCTACGATGTTATTGCAAATTTAGCGTGCTGCTAAATACAATATGTAATATTGAATCTTTTTGTTTGATGCCAGGAATAAATTATTTTTCTTGCCTATGTTTAATTGATGACGTTCTATAAAGCTTAAAAATTATGTCTCTTAAAAAATCATGATTACTTTCTCCACTAATTTTCGACGAACACTATTTTCACATCGTATAAAAGATTAGTCCTATGTGTTCTATTTAACAAGACTCAATAACAATGTCATGATTGCACGAAAAATATCGTAGAAGCTCGTTGGTATCTCTTATTCAGTTTCATAATGAAAGAAATGGTCACAAATATATGTGCCGCCAAACATTATCCTTCTTTGGATTATTCCTATATTTCATTTTATATCAATCTCGATTGAGAGACTGCCCGATTTCTTCCGTTTTGCTATCGTTTGGAGATTATGACATTCTCGTTGAAAAAGCAATTATTAATTGTAAATTTCTGTTATATAATTACATAATATTTTTATATGCCACTGCTTAAAATATTTTTTATGAGTTACATGAACATATAAAAAAAATAATCGATACTAGCAGCGCACACAAGGACAGGTTTTGTCTATTAAGACGGTTCTATCAAACAAAAAAATTTCTAGAAAATCATATTACTTTCTCCACTAATTTCGCGACGAACACTACTTATTCACAATCGTATAAAATGAATTTGGTCTTGTAGCTTGAAAAACCGTAATACCCATTTGAGACTCTCTGGGCAGATGATTTGAGGCGGCGGTGGATCATTGCATTATATGGCCAGGCGCGCGTCGTCTCCCACTCCGCTCCCCCTCCCCCCCCCCACTTGCACTCAGGGCTGTCGCGTGCAGGCGGCTGGCTCGAAAGGGACCGTGGCCTTTTGGCGCGGGCAGGTGCAGGGCAGGCCTGTTGAAGGGACATTGCGATATTGGCGAGCTGTGAAAATTCTTCACGAACAATTATTCAATCGCTGGGCTAAATTTTCGACAGCTGTACTTCAATGTTAAAATGTAGTTAAATGAATTTGACTCTTGTTTTAGGCCGACACTACGGAACACTTCAGGCCTTTTCGCCGCAGAGGCTGAAATTTGTAAGGAAAAACTTGGCGCATCGGACGGTAAGTACCTTCGCTAACCACTTTACCCTGGGTATAGAACCTTACCCTACCACCTTAAAATAACTGTTTTAATCTCATCAGCTCATATCAGAAGTTTCCATTCGCGTCTCGGAATTTTGGTAAAAGAATCACTACTGTTTTTTTAACAACTGTCTATTTTGAAAATATACAAATCCAAGAAAATATGAATTTATGTAATTGCATTTAACAATTTGTTGGTATGTTTTATAATTAGGTTTTCACTAGCGCTTTTAGGGTAAATGTAAGAAGTAAAGTGCTCACGTAATTGGGGCTAAAAATCTCATGTTGTATGAAATTTTAGATTTCACAGAATTCTGAAGTACTAAATATTAAAATACAAAATATGGTCAAAATAGCAGCTTTTAAGTATTGTTTTCTAGATGAATATAGGAACACTATTGATGTTTTCTTCTATTTTCATAAAATGTCCTTTCATCGATTCGTATTTCCTAAAACGTTTGTCCAAAAATCATAAATACATAATTGAAATGGGCATAGTGTGATAAAATGCTTTACATGAAAATTGTTTGTAAACTGAGTCAAAATGGAAGATATTTATTGTTTTGAAAATAAATAAAATTTAAGTGAAAATATTTTTTCTTCAAAACTTTATATTTTCTATACTGCCAAATGAATACAGTTCACAGCATCTAACACTGAAATTGCTTTTGCCATCTCGGAGGACTGCTTGCACTTTCCATAACTACTGCCTGTAGAACCAGTTTTCATAATGACTTTTGACTCCTTGATCCATGGGCAGTGTGGCGCTGGTAGTGTTCCGCGACATAGTTCTTGTGTATTTTTCCGCGACATAGTTCTTGAGATTCACTTCTAAGCTCTATTGCTCTCTGCTGTTACTTAATGACTCGAACTCGACTTCTTATGATGTTGAACAACTGAGCCCGAAATTCTAGAATGCTTATAGTGCAGGAAGAGTAAAATGTAGCACGATGTCTTGGCGACGTCTAAGCAGCAAGTACCAACCCAGTGTCAGAGGAGTCTTTCCGGCGTGAGAACGGAGCAGTGCAGAAATGGGACGAATCGTCTGCGCCTCCAGGTGCAGCAATCAATCCCATACGCAGCAGTCTCGTGTAGTTTGCAAGAGAGTGCGTATCTCGCCTTTAAAAAGCATAATTTTCCGTTTTGGACAGAGGGAAGAAAATACTAGACAGTGACAGAGGATTTCCGTTCCCGCGTTGCACAGTTTCCGTTTTATTCAGGTGAAATAACAAGTAAATACACATGCTTTCCTGACCCTCTGTCCCACCGTTCCTCTGTCCGTCCGTCCACCCGTCCATCCCTCATTCCCATTCTTCAGTCCGTGTGAGGTGAACGCCAGTGTCTAAACTGTTCAGCTTTTTCAAAATTGAATTTTTCCCCAATCGATCTCAATAAACTCGAGGCTTTGGGAGTTTTAAACGGATATTTGTTTTTTGTGGGTACATTTCATGAAGTCTTAAGAATTACATTAGCGGCGATTTTTTCACATATTTGCATTGGAGTATATGTGCTTCAGGTGGTGCATTATAAAGGGATTTGAAAACTCAAAGTTCACTCATTTTACAAATTACTAATTTTAGAAACGCTCAAACGTCATTTCTTCGGAACAGGTCCAATTGTTCTTTTAAATTCTTTGAACAGATACTGCTAAATGGATTGAATAACGTAAATGAATGCCTTTATCAGGTATTCTTTTGCTTTTCTTAAAAAAATACACATTTTACTACATTTTACTACGGCCCTTTATGTTCAGCCTTGGAGGAACCTTCACCTGAAGCACAAATGATCAATTTCATTCAGTTATCCTTCTCTCTCTTAACGATTTGTATACGTTATTAAATTTGTGAGTAAAAGTACTTCAAATATTTTCTTATCAAATTTCTGCTGGCAAAAGTTTAGGGCGAAAATCATCTCAGAATGAAGATCTTCAAAAACGCTCTATTTAATAATTTGAAGCTCTTTTTCACAAAATATATTTGAGTTTTCGAAAAACTTCATAAGAAGTCATTTAATCCGTTTTACATATAAAATAGAGTTTACAAATGGCTGGAAATGTGCAAATTACTGGCGTGAAAAATCTTTCAAATAAATTACGTGTGTATTTTTTGAAAAACTAATAAATGTCCCGAAATGAACTTTACTTCATATCAAAGAGGGCAATTAGTACTAACTGTTCGAAAAATTTGAAGAAAAAATTCGGGTAGATGTTGAGAAATTTGCGTTTGAGCGTTTCTGAAAATGTGGAATTTTGATCTGGTTTTCACAGACAACTGTTGAGTTTTTCGGGACACTTTTTGTCACATTATTTAAAGTACGAGTTATCATAAATGCAATAATGTAAACAAATTGCCGCTAATGGCAATATTAACAACGTGAGACATGTAAAAAAATCACATTTTTGTATTTTTTGAAAAAATAAAAGAATAGAGAAATATAGCGTTTATGACATCTTACAGAGTGTGCATTTAGTATTACTATATCAAACATTAAAAAAACAGGAGACGATTTGGAGAAAAATGTGTTTTATAAATTTTCTAAAATTGCCATATTGCTCGTAACGACTGAAAGTTTCAAAAAAGTGAACATCAGCTTAATGAAAGAATTAATTATTGACAACAAATTGTATATGAAGGAAAAATCTTTAGTTTCAATTTTGTATGAAATATTGTATCAAATTTTCTATGAGTCGTCATTACCATCAATATTGTTTATATACAATAGCAGCTTTCGATGGCTTAGCCATCATAATCAGTTTTCTACAAACAATATTGTTGGCAATGACGATTCATAATTATTTATTGTAAAAGGCCAACGAAAACTCACCAACAATACCAATATTCAATTTTGTAATTGTAGGAAGAGGTGGAAAAAAATTCTAAGTTTTGCATTATCAAAAATCAGAGTTAACCGTAAAAATTGGACCTCTGCCAACGTTATAAACGTATTTTACTTTATTTATATATTCTATAAATTTTAAAAAATGGAAGCTTTTTTTTGAGAAAATTTTGATGATGCACCAGGGTCATGTAAAGTACTCCAAATGTTAAAGAATGTTTTTCAAATACTCAAAGTTTTGACTCGAGCCAGATGGTCAGAGGTTCCTTCAATTTGGAAAAAATCCTACCTATGGTTTAGGCCCTATAGTGTTTACAAACGCACAGACGGACGTTTTGAAAATAATCACTTTTCGGTGTATAAGGCGACCCCAAAACCTTTATTTCCATGAAAATCTCGTAATCGACTTTCCACAGCAATAGTTAACTTTCCCTATTCTACGTATATAGTATGTATACGGAAAGGAAAAAATCGATTGACAGTGTGTCTGTCTGTCCATCTGTGCACAACGCTGGCGCATAAACCGTTCAGCCTTTTTTCTCCAAAATTGATATTCCCCAATCGTTCTAGCAGATGTGGCGACCCTGGAATTTGAAACCGAAATTTTTATATTGGGTTTACTTTCGTGAAGTTCCTGAGCCATTTCAAAAATTTTCGAAATAACGCTTCAATTTTTTTTATTAAATTTTGTTGTTGAATAATCCAAAGGACGTTTAAGAGAAAGGTGCAAGTCTCATTATCTTTTATATGCCCGTTTTTTCAAAAAAGATGAAAAAGTTAAGTTCAAAATTGGAGATAGATATTTTTGCCTCAGAAAGTCTGTTGTTCAAGATAACCTCTTTAAAAAGGTCATGTACAATTTTTGAAAGAAAAAAATCAGTTTTGGGGCATTTTCTGCTAAAAATAATTAAATATATACAGGTTTCACACCAATTGTGTTTTTATTAATAATAATTATATTTTTCTTCTCTCTTCTTTTACTTTGCCGAATACATATGTATCTACGAGTAATATTCGTAGTATAGGGAAAAAGTGGTAATGCTGCGTGAACGGAGGATTTTCGGCAGAAATCTAGTGATGCTAAAAACAGCACATTTTCCCCCCTTTTGTAATAGTTATGTAATATGTTATACATGTTTCCAATTTTTTAAATAAATTATAAAAATGAATGAATGTTTAATCATTTGAAATTTTAGCTATACCTTTTCCTACGTTAGCAAGTGCGAGAAAGTAAAAACTGTAAAAAAAATTGTTTAATCTAATGAAATCTGTTATTTTCACAGATGACTTGAATGCCATGCTATACCTGCGAAAAGATTTGTTTTCTGAAAAGGCCAAGGTAAGAATAAAACAACTGTTGTACTCGTAATAGTTGTCAACGAAAATCTTGCAATATTATAAAATACCGCGCTTTTTTGGATTTAATGTTTGGAACGCGAATCGTACATCGCGTTATGTACTAGCACATAGAATAGTTTGAGATAACAATGAAACACGCTTGTATTTAAATAGTTGTGAACGTTGTTTTCGGAATACCATTAAAGAATTTTAGTTTGTCTCTTTTTATTATCGAAATGAAACCAAGAGATTCTATAAGTCATGTACACTATATAATTTAGTTTTAAGAAAATGGAACTAGGAATTTAGAATATCTTTTTTGTAGTTTCATTAGATTTCCTTGTGAAACGGAATTTCATTGGAATTAAATATGAATATACATGTGAATTTAATTAGTTTAAATTAGTTCTTGTGAAAAATGAGTTGTGTTATCTTTTTAAAAATACAATGCACGTGATAATATTTGAACAGAATTATATTATTTTGTGGTGGTGTGATAATAATTCATTTCCATACCTTAATTTATTGCAAAATTTTCAATACATAATTAGTAAGGATTTTATTATTTTTATTTTTGAACAGTTGAATTGTATTAATTTTATTTACATATATTTTCAACTTATAGCGTCTCGTCATTTCATTAAGTCTTTTTATTCTTCAAAATTTTAGCGTGGTGAAAATAACAATATGCTGTGGATAACAACATTTTCTAGGACACTAAATATTTCATCTTACATATGCTCTGAGAGGGAGAGTAAAAAAAGTGTGAGAAAGACAATATAGAAAAAGAGAAGTCTGAGAAAAGGCAGAAAAGAGAAGGCATAGAGAGGGTAGGGAGAAACAGAAATTCATGTTCGTTGTAGATGGCTAAGGTACTCTGTATAATTTCAGTTGTAAATAACACTGCAGCGTATTTCTGTTAACATTACCATTAATTTATTCTACTCTTTCCTCGTAAGAGTCAGGTACACATGGAGCAAATCGTGACCTTTTTGACCCACTGATGGCGCACTGATTCGTCACTTGCAGAAAATACATTTTTTCCGAGACCCGCCCCACTGCGATGGCCTTTCTGGTTAATGCATGTGGATCATTCGCATAGACAGAGGAAACGCAGGAGACATGTTGCGATCGCTTCAAGGCTTCATTCGTTCTCCAAATTCCACATTTCACAAATTTACGGCCTTCCCTAAAAACGAGGAGATTTTGTTAACGGTTTAGATTACGTGCGCAATTATTATACCAGGGGTAACTAAGTAATCTTTATGGAAGAGCAGGCTACCTACTCAACATAAGCGAGCACCACGTGTTGAGGGTCCAGGCCACCGCTGGAAAGAGGGCGCTTGTTGCCTTTGGCGATGCGTCTGTGTGCGGGGGCTGGGCGGAGGACGGCGGGAGTAGAACTCAGAGAGCCCGTCCTTCGCCGCGGCTTGGCTGAACGAAACCTGTTCCGCAGGCGTCGGCGAGGCGCCAAAACGGGCGACGACGTCCGTCGACGCCCACGCGAGGCATCCGTCCTCGTCGGCCTGCATCAAGGCCTCCAGGGCGTTCGCAATGCCAATGTTGGATGGCAGGGAAGTGCTGCTGGCGTGCGGCGTCGGGAAGTTCTCCCGAGGCGGCGGCCGCTGCTGCTGTGCTGCTGCTGCTGCGGTGTTCGTTGCGGCGAGTCCCTCCGAGAGCGAAATGCCGTCGGTGCAGAAGACCAACGCATTCCGTTGCCCTTCTCCGTATCTGAAATGGAACGGCACTTTTGGCTCTTTCTTAAAAATGTTGCTGCTCTAAAAAGAAAAATTTGTTAAGTCCTAAGAGGACTCATGCTTAGTGATTTTGGTGTTTTAGTCTTCAGAAGGGCTGGTGTTAAAATTTTTGAAGCCCCGAAAGGGACTCATTTCTAAGGAAAATATTTCTAAGTCGAAAAATTGATTTTCGGACTTAGAAAAAGTTCCGCTCCCGAGGTCCTGGGAGTACAGTGCAGCAGCGTCAGCGGCCCCGAGGTGCGTCTTCACTGTGAGCGCGTGACTCACGATTTATTCAATCGTGAAATGTGAAAAATGCCACCGCTAGCAGAACGCAACTTCAAATGACGGCAGTCCCATTGCGCGCCGGCAGCGGCGTTTACCCGCTGCGGTCCCTTTGTTCGTCGTCGCCGGAGGGTTGGCGAAACCTACGCCCGCAGAACCCACCCCCTCCACGGCGGGCGGCGGTGGCGGCGTGGGAAGAGCCCTGCCGCTCGACGGCAGCGCGCCGCCGCGGCGACCGAACCAACCTCCGGGCGACGGTGCAGCGCGTGGACCTCGACAGGGGCGCGACCCGCACACTAGCGCCATCTAGCCACGGAACAAAGAACCAATTTAATGATTTGGAGTTAGTCCATCAAATCGTGAATAGATGGCGTTGACACTTCTCATTCCAGCGGGACAGACGAAAACCAACTATTTCGTTCTCAAATTCGACGGTGATGTTGGTGGTATAAGAACGTCAAAAAGTACGCGCGATTGTGAAGCAAGATTCCGTCAGAAAAAACTGTGCTCTGTAACATTATTGCTTGGAAGTTTCTGTTTGACTTGGTCTTCCCCAGGATCGCTAGCTGAACGCGCGCGCATCCGTCCCTAGCTACGAAACGGGCCGAGTTGAGCTACTGTACTGCCACTTTCAACCGCTCGTGATGCAGTTCTAGTCCGGCTTTACGCCCAACGCAGTTTGAGGGCTAATTTCCGACTGCCTCGCACGGGGGCTTCGTCACATCGCTTCGCGCACCAGAATTCGCAGTAGGATCTCTCTTTCAGACTGCGCGGCGCGACAGATTAAGATTCCGGAACCCGACCGATCACGCGATCCTCTGTAAGACGGCGAACTTCAGACTAATGCCAGCCTGTACAGTTCTCACGAGACAACGCTGCTCCTTTTGGCCGAAAACGATTCCTCGCCTGCCCGCCCCTCACTTTCTACGGTGGCCAATGGCGATCGCGCGTTTCTTACCAATCCGCACAAACCCGGTGTCGGTCCGTGCGCTGTTCGCTTGACAGGTAGTTCCCTCGTCAAGCTAAGACGGCACATGCGTTACACTCCACTCCTCGCGTTCGCGCACCAACGACGCGGAGCCCGACGCGGAGCCTACACTTGAGCTCCTCTCTCGGTAAAGCTCTGGATCGGGCTTCTGCTTAGATTGGAGCAACCATTCCAAAGATTCGGAGAATAAAGACTCAAAGAGCCAATTCCCCATTAAATTACCTAAAGACACCTGGTTAAAAAAAGGTACCTTATTCGACAAGACCATACTTCCACCAACTCTCCACAGATATTTACGTGAAATGTTTTATGCTATTGACGTCTTTGAAAACGTTAGTTTTAATAAATACGAGGTCTGACAACGCAGTTCATAAGAAATAATTCATTATAATAAAACAAGGATCGTTATATTCGGCATTACAAAGAAATGTAGGTTTGATTTCTAGAGGTTGGCATAACTTTGAAAACTCTAGAGGCCGATTTTGAAACTAATACTCTCACTCCACCCGCTTTTGTCGAAGCCATCAATCAAAAAAGTTGCGCAATTATAATACTTGGATTGAAGCCGAAAGTTCTTTCAAAGTCACGAGCTGAAAAGAGATCATCCAATCCGAAGCTACAAAACCAAAATATCAAGTCATAACGAAGCTCGCGATTCGGTGACAGTACCCTCACTTAAATTTTAAATGCAGTCAAATACCAAAAATCACGTTGTTGCAAGTCATTGAAACAGATATAAAGCATTAACTTTAAATATTGAATGTTTTACCATTTTAACCGTGTTTTATTTGTTAACCGTGTTTTTATTGTTTACTGCAGAAGATTGTCACTTTACGACACTTTCGAAACGTTTCTCGACACTTCTCGCTCTCCTTGCTACTCCGAGCAAAAGTCGGATGAGCTCGCACATCTTCGCAGGGCTGGCAAGTTATGCCATTTTTTGTACATAATAGTCGGGAAAATGTTTGGAGAATTTTTGTTTAATTCGAAGTCGAGATAGAAATTTATTTTCTCGATTATTATGAATAGAAAGAAGAAATAGACGTCATTCTCAAGTTCATGTATCAAAAAGAGATAATTAGAAGGCAGACATAGATATAGAAAAACATGAGAAAAATGAAGTTAGTATACGGCTTCTAGCAGCTTAGAGATCAATGACTAGTTGATTGAATCACCTGAATTTAAGGGAACACCCCGTGGAATCATCAAGGACAGCTCATGACGTTGGTCCATAATTTGGAGAATATGTTTCGTTTCAGAGTTGGGAATTTTGTTTCGCTGGAGAGGTTCTTTGGGGGAAGTAGTGATGGAGACAGAGCTTGCAACAGATGTGGCAACCCTGTGCTGCAGTGCCTCGCCGCCTGCGTGCTGGAGCGGTTGGGCGTCATGAGGGACGGCCGTTGGACCACAGTGCCGGCGGAGAAGCGGCTGCAGGTGTACCACAAGGCCTTCGCCGATGACGTCATGCGGCTAGAGGCGGCGGATGCCGTCATCAACCTCTGTCACGAAAGAGGTCAGTTGGGTGGCAAAGGGAGTCTTTTGATGCAGCACTTGCAGGTCGCGAATTTTCGAGACTTGCTACATGACTGGATCAAAATCAGCCGCTACCTGGAGCATTCCTTTATTATTTCGTGTTTTCGGTCGCGTCAACAAATGTATTAATCAGTCCCGAGTGTGTAGTGCATGTTTCTTTCCTCGGGCGGCGGTCGTGTTCTTCCAATGATGAATGGTGAGGTGCGGCAACGACCTCACGTCGAGTCCTGGTGATTTCCCCAACCGGTATCTCTCCCAGCGTGTCACATACCCAGCCGGAACAATTATTAATTTAAACACTTCCACTGGTCACGAAAATCTCCAGACATGAACATTATAGAGCATACCTGTGGTGCCTTGCAACGTGCTGTTCAGAAGAGATCTCCACCGCCTCGTACTCTTACGAGTGTATGGAGAGCCCTGCAGGATTCACGGTGTCAATTACCTTCAGCACTGCTTCAAACTTTAGTCGTGTCCATGCCAGGTCGTGTTCCGGTACTACTGCGTGCTCGCGGAGGCCTATACGATATTAGGCTGGTGTACCAGTTTTTTGTAATACCCTTAGGTGTATTGCACCTTTACAGTCACGAAATATACCCCTGGGAGTCTTAATTATTAATACAAATTCATTTATACATTTTTCAGTTTTTCTTTTAATTCTAACATTCTACGTTAGGTTTGGAGCCTTTGGTTTAATGACGGACAATTTATCCAAGATTAAATGCACAGAATGTCAACAGAAGTTCAAATTAATAACAATATATTAAAAACTTCGATGAAAAAGTAATAAGTTGTTACAACGTTTTGAGAATGAAGAAGTTTAGAGTACTGTCACCTTTCATGCATAATTGCTGTAATTTATACCAAAAAAACGTATTTTTGTAATTTAAAAAATCCCTTCAGTTTCTTGGATATGTAACGAACCTGTCTCACACAGTGTGCGTTGTTTCCCTCTATTTCAGCACGCTTACAAATTAGTGATGTAGATACTGGGCTTCAAAAAGGAAAATAATTACGATTGTGTCAATTACCTCCGCGAAGTAAGGTAAATTATATTATGTTTGTACAAAAATATATCTTTTCACTCCAGCAAGCTTCTCTTGAATTTTATCACAAAATGTTTATGCAGGAAATGAATTATTGTTATTTTTTAAATGCACATCAATGATAAAGGGCTAAAGTTTACGATTTTTGTATGTCATATAATGCAGACTTTAAAGGCATATATTTAAGTTTAGTTTGGGCATAAAATCCTATCCCTACAGTCATCGAATACATATTATTGAAATACCAGCTCTCTTTCCGCTTTGATCCAATTTTAAGTTATACTCACACAGGTACTCATAACTCACGTTTTGAATTGTACTTTTATTTATGCTGTTCACGTCGTGCAATTCTCACCTAGAAGGCGCTGCATCGCGCAATATGGCGCTTGAGTCGAATGTAAACGTAAACCACCTGAGCTCACTATTGCTGGGCGCGAATGTGCGTTCGGAGGGTGGGGCGGGGGAGGGGCGGCACTAACGCTGAGCTAGGAGAGGAGAGTGAGTGGAAATTGCAGGCAGGAGGACCGCTAGGGTCGCAGCAGCGGCGCTGAGTTGGCCGGTCGCTCAGTATAGTAGAGGTTGGGTGGAGGAGAGTCAAGCATTTAGAAAAGATGTACACATTGTCTTTTCCAACATTAAAGAAACAGTATGCATGTATCAGACAGAGAAAATATTAATTAATTTCCAATCATTAGAATTTCGTTTCGACATTTTTCACTTACGGGAGGTTTTATCAAGCGGCTATGTCACACAAGAATTCTGATGTTAATACAAGTGATATTTTTATTGGTTTTATGTTAAGTGATACTCGCGACTTACATGTATTCATGATATTAATAATTCCCAATTATTTGAGATCGTATCAGCACCAGTATATTAATAATATAAAATATTTCCTAGGCTTTAGTGTAAGCGGCTCCTTAGCACCAGGACTGATAGTTTCGGGGGTTGTGGAAGTTCGGAGCTTTCGGAAACAATGGCTGCATGTTGCCCGGAAAGTATGTTTCGAATCGCTGTATTTTTTCTTCTATTGCTGTATTTTTTCTTGTTGTTGCAGCTGACGCGAAGTTCAAAGGAAACCAAGGAGATGCGTGTAATTGGCCTACGACGCCATAGAATGCTTTGGCGACATACTTAATTAGCCACTGGCCGAGAATGGCAAGCAACGATGAAAAGGAGAAAAGAAATAGATGGCAATTAAGCAGCTAGGGTGAAGATGAAAGCAACATCTCTGTATCACAACTAATAAAAATTAATTACTCATACATTACTTTAGCCGTGAGATTAAGTAGATCGAAGTATGAGAAGTGAATGAAATATACAATATTATTTGTTGTGTTCAGTTTTATTATTTATTCCCCTTCTTCCTCATACGCGCTCTTCGAGGTTTTGAATGTACTACGTTTACATAATCTAACACTATTTCGTCGTCATTTAGTTCACTTTGAGTCGCAAGACCGTTATCGTCATGAGCGACGTGCACCGTAGGTTAGAGCATACAGATTGCTTTAGCGCTGTTACATCAGCCTCCCTTTCCTTCCTCGCCGAATCCCGAGCAGCCTTCAGGACCCGTGTCTCTTCACAGTTGTACTGTGGGAAGACGCCGAAATAGTTTTCATTTTTAAATTAAAAAATAAGCATTTTAACCAGCACGAGATCTACGCCATTCTCGTAGACATTCTTTACGCTATCTAAGTCCAAATTTCATCGAAAAGTTTGTGCCGTTTTTTAAGAAAAAATGATTTAAAGTAAAAATATTACCTAGTTTTGACAAAAAATTTTGTAAAAAAATACTCTGTTTTCGAAAAGTGACATTGACAATTTTTTTAGATCTGTTCTTCATGAACACAATTTCATTAGAAAACATTTATCGTATCTCATATGCTGTAGTTGTAGTAGTAATAAGATGATACAAATGTTTAAATTATTGAAAAATCAGGGTTTTCAACGAACATGAATCATACACCATTCTCTTGAATGTCTTTCCACTATTAAGCAACAAAACAATTATATATAGAGTCGTTTTAGAAAAAAATATTAAAACAAAATTTTAAAATGTCTATATTTCACCTAAAATTGCGTAAAAGGTACACAACTTTTCAAAATGTAAATTATCTTATTTTCTTATTTCAAAATCTATCTATGAGGAAAAATTTCTTTAAGTGAAAAATCTCTATCTTCATAATTATAGTTGTAGGATGAAGCCGAAAAAATTGAATATTTGCACTTTTCCAAACATAGGAGTTTTTTACGCTTTCCTGCTAGTAAGAGTTCTTTACATTACTGGGCAACATAATTTAATGAAAAAATATACCACCTTTTCGAATATGTTCCAAGGACTTTACGTAAATTTCTTCCCTTATATAAAAATATATGTTCCAAGTTCCAGAAGCCGCGACATCAGTCAGGTCGACAGGGGAATATCAATTTTTGACAAAATTGGCTACATGGTTTAGGCGCTAGCTTTGACACACAGACGGGTTTTCGGTATCAAGAATCCCCAAATATTTATTCCGACTACACCAAAAGTTAGAGGAAATAATTTACTATACGTAAGGGACACGTTTTATCTACTTTTTCGTCATCAGGACCCGGCAATTAGTTTAAATGTGTGTGGTGTGTGTGGTGTGTGTGTGTGTGTGTGTGTGTGTGTGTGTGTGTGTGTGTATCGCCGTTTCTCCGCTCTCAGTCTCCATGCCTCTCTTTGACCATAGATCATCTTGCATTTCCCTTGCCGTCATGGCGTCTTGTACTCCCTGCTGCCATGCAAGTCTGGGTCTTCCTCTCTTCTGTCTTTCTATCGGCACCCATTTCAGGACTCGATTTGACCATCTTTCGTCTGTCATTCGCATAATATAACCGTATTAGCCGGTTTATATTTTCTGTATTTCAAGGACAGATTTCTTTACATCCATTTTCTTTCTTATGTCGTCGTTCCAGATTCTGTCGCGTCTGCTTCATTTCAAGGGCCAGCAGCTTCCCTCTTGTTCAACCTCCCAAACTTCAGAACTGTACGTTCTGACTTTCGTGGAGTAAAGGAGTAGTGTTAGTGATGGTTTTGTTTCTCAAGATAGAGTTGATACTTCGTGTCACGTTTCTCCCCAAACTTACTCGTTACTCAATTCCTTCTTGGCCGTTTCCCTTATTGTTAAAAAGTACAATTTATAGTGCCACATAACTAATATTCTACAAGAAGATCTTCTATCCCATTGTTACCAACTGCCAAGTATTCAGATTTGTCCATGTTAATATTAAGTCCTGCTTTTAAAAAGTTTACGGATCGTGAAACTCAGATCGACCGCATCTTCTGCAATTATTACCTGGTCATCGGCAGAATATAATGTATATAACTTATCCTTTCCGATCGTCATTCCCAATATTCTGCATTGTTTCTTCCACTGCTGTAAAGCTTGATGCAGACATATTTTAAACAGGGTTGGGGAAAGACAGCAACCCTGACGAAGACCTTTAGTAACCGAGAATGGATCCGAGAGCCTGCTGTAGATCTTAATCTGGGAGGTGTTGTTCTTATATAGATTCCGTGTGGCTCCAATTAACTTTTCACTGATTTTAAGTCCATCCATTTCTTCCCATACTCAAGCATCCAGAACATTGTCATACGCCTCCTGAAGATCAATAAATCCAGTAGTTCGTGAGAACGGACAAGCTCATTACTTTTAAGTATGTAGAGCAAAAATTAAGTATTTCGGTTGGGTTTTCAAAAGCAATACAAACCATTCATTAATTCGGGGTTCTTCGGTTACAAATCAGTTAAATATTGAAGTGAACGTTCTACGTAATGAAGTAAAATTATGAAAAATGGTAAGTCAATGGGTCCAGACGACATTTATACGGACATAATTAAACTAGGAGGAGAGGCAATATTACCGTACCTAATTAGAATATTTCACGTAACCACAAATAATTCTAAAGTACCTGAAAATTGGAAATTACCTTTTGTCGTATCAATTTTTAAAAGTGGTGACTGTATTAAGTAAATATAATCCACTAAGTCTTACGTCAGTGGTCTGCAAACTCCGCGGCAGATAATGGAATGACCATAAATAGCTCCAAAAGCAAA